TTATTTTGCTCACTTTTTTTCACCTGAATATGAAGTCGATAAATACTTGTAGTTAAACGAGACATTAAATCATCACCTAAAGTGTTTCAAGTATATTAATTTTGATCCATCGGGAAAAAGGAAAATCCTTCCCTTATTGCCTTAAACATCAGCCTTCCTTTCCCCTGCAGTAATCCCTTCTTCCATCATCTGATGCGTGCTGTAGATGCTGTGATGTTCGGCAGTGAGCTGAAAGAAGACGAGAGCCGTCTGGAATCTATTAGCCGGTGGATTCGGCAGCGTTGCACTGTGGGAACCTTATTGATTGTCCTCCTTTATAATTATTCAGCCTCTTTTCCCATCATCTGGCTCAGACGCAGGTCATTCTCTGTTTCTCTCTCATTCCATTTTCCCATTTGTTTTTTATTCCTGAAGGCTCTCGTTTGGTTTTTTGGCTCCTTAGTTCTTTCATATAAATCTGCCAGCGGCTCGGTATTTGATTACCTGTACTGCTTTGGCTACCAGCCTCTAGTGTAAGGAGGCCTTTAAAGGACAAGTCCAAGTCTTTGTCTCAAGTCCAGCCCTATAATAATAGGATTGATGCCCTCTAGTCGGCCTAAAGCTTTGCATTGAGGTTTATATTTTATGCAGCATTGTTATTAGTATTTTTAAAACATTTTAGTGGTGTGAGGTTTCAGAATAATGTTGAACATTTTATAAGATGGGTGCCTGTCTTTTAATGTAAAATAATTTAATCTAATCAAAGCTTTCCAATGTATTAAATCTCCTGAAGATTGAGATGATTTAGGTAATCCTTTACCGACCTGCAAACACCTGGTTATATTTAAGGTCCAGCAGTTGGGGGAGATTGAAAAAAAGTAGTAATGTGTGTCTTTTATTGGGATGAATGTTAATATTTGGTATCAGCTGGGAAGAAATCCCTTCTTCTGCTTCTGGGAATCTCTAAAAGGAGCAAGAGAGAAGGTGAACTGAGACTGGATGAAAGGCTAGGGAATACAGGAGAGGCAGGAGGATTGAGGATCAAATCTGAAAATGGAGGTTGAAATCTTTCTCTTTGTATTATTTCTCCCATGTTGCACTACAAAGGTTTTAGTGGGCTTGAATTTTATAACACAAAAGACTTACTTGGAAGAAAAAAATTGCTTTTTTTTTAACTCTGCAAACAGAAGCTGATAGGAAATGTTGGAAGTATCTTCATGACGAATAAAATCTGAGAAAAAACAGGAGTTTTTCCACAGCTGATCTATTATTGATGAAAGACTTTCATATTTTTGTTAACTTGATCCTAATTTAACTCTGAGATAATGCTTCTTTGTTTTGTTTGGCTGATCTGCCGGGATTTAGTAAACTTTTAGTCTGCAGCTTAAGATCATTGTAATATGCTGTGAAAGGGAATTTTGGCGGTATTAAATGGAAAATAAATTCAATTTTCTTCCTCTTATAGTGCAGAGAACTGTTTAAAACATGAAAATACCACTGAATTATAAGATGTTGCTCAACTGTCTTTTTCTTTTTCTTTTTGGACAAATGCCATATTTATAGTCTTTACGTCCAGATTAGTTAAACCAGCGTTATTTTCCTCTCCTGTTTACTATTAAGTTTTAGTCTGCAGATCATTACGAACAAAAATACCCAGCTGACTTTTTGATTTCTCTTTCTCTTCTCGTTCCATTTGAACGTTTAGTTAGAAACAAGGAGCCCTGATCAAAATCTAATCAGCTATAATAGTCTTTTTCTGATTTCCATTGCTAAAAATGTGCAGTTGGAAGGTATTAATGCATCTTTGGTAACGCAACCTGTAATTTAACTAAATGAGACAAATGGATTATAATTATTGTGGACAGAGGTCATGCACTGAATGATTCATGTGCTTTTGGAGCCAAAAGATGAAAGGCAATCTGTTGTTTTGTTTTAAGGTAAAAATCTACTATAGATGTCTGATTTTTATATATTTGAATTGTGTTTTATTAATTTTCGACAATGTTCAAGGTCCTGAAATCACCCATTTTCATTCAGATTTCTGACGAGGTTCAGCTGCAGTAACCACTTCTCTGCCTTGAGGTTTAAATTGATAAAAAAAAAAAAGAAGATCAGCAGTATGTTTGATGAAACTCTATCAGTGGTTTGGCCTTTCTTTCGGTTTCCTGTTGCAGGCCCAAGAAGCAGCGGCGAGGTCTTTGTTTATGTGTTTGTCAGCCTGGTGCCGGAAATAACGACCTGGCTGCAGAACATGAGTAGTTAGCGGAGAGGTAAAGCCCCGCCGCAGGAAAAAACCCTGCGTGTTTTACTGCAGGCTCCTCTGACTCCTCCTACTTTAGTTCACCTTTGCAAAACAGGGGATCTTGTTGTTCATCAGTTCCATCCAGATGGTGTCGATTATGACATAAGGTTTTTTTTTTCCTTCTTAACAAAGAAAGAAAACCCTCTTAAGATTGACCTGATATGAATATGGTTAAATATAAACCTATTGATGTACATGTGGTGTAGTCAGTGGTTTTATTAATGTAACGTGGTTCAGAAATCTGTCAGCAGGCCTTAAACTCCTCTGACTAACTATATATAGGACGTAGCTCTAATCTGTGTGATTAAAAAATAGAAATAAAGCAAAACTGTTATTTTTAGGATTCCCTAAAATTCTGATGCCTGATGGAGAATCCCTATCATCAGTTTTAATTGTTTTTTAGTATTTACAGTTATTTAAAACAAAAATGAAAAAGCATAGCTGGTTCTAATATTTTAATCAATGTAGTCTGCTTATTTTACTAAATGTCTTTCCGTTCTGATTTTCATAGAGTAAAACCACTTTAAGACGGGGATTTGAGCAAACCTAATGGACAGGTTGTTAAAATAATCAAGATCTAGATATAGACAATAAAAAAGTAGATTATTTAAAGGAAGAGTCTTCAGCGTTTTACAGGTCAAGACCCTGATAAAAGGCACAACAAAGATTTTATCTGTTAAGCTCAGAGTGTTTGGAAAAACACTTCTGCATGAAAATACACACCAAAATGAATAACACAACTAATGTTACAGGTGTTGATGGAAACGTTTGATACCTGTCTAAAGGTTAACATTAGTAAATAAAAGTTTTCAATTGGATTAATTGAGCGGAATTTTTGTTTTTGTAACAGCATGGTTAATTTAGCTGTTTGACAGTCTGCAGCAATATGTGGGGAAGGGGCAGCAAGGAGAAGAAATTTCGATCCCATCCTCTCTGGCCTCTCATTTGGATAACTGCACTGTATGAAGATTTTAAAGATATGTTTTGCGTGTTTTCAACTCCGTATTTTCAAAGCACTTCTATTTATTAAATAGACTAGTACCTGGGTGCAAGATGTTTCTAAAGGTGGAATATATACTTAGTTCTGGCGTTGATATATTTTATGTAGGAATTGTATATTCCATTTAATCTCCACAGTTAGAGTACACTATAAACAGGCAAAATTGTGTTCAAATAAATAATTTTTTTTAAGTGGTGAACATGAGGTAGATGCTGTTTCCTTTACATCTAACCTCCTTTATCCTGATTCCATTCCAAAGAAAACCACGGGGAAATATATATATTTTGGAAAAGCGAACTTATCTTTTACATTCAAATTCAATTGATGAGTTTATGCTCCACCTACTGGTGCAGGAGAAGTATGACAAGGTATTGTGGAATAATAATAGAAAAAAACGTAGCCAGATAGATGAAGGAACCTAAACTTTTGCTGCAAGCTAGATTTTCGCGAGATCGGAGTTGTCAGTCTCACAACAAATCCATCTTGAAAGACTCCTGCTAATACGTCTGTGTCGTAACAACCAGCGGGTTGGACCAGTGACATGCCAGCAGTGTTTTTTTGGGCGCAGGACATGTAGTATTAGACAATTTCTCATTTAAAAAAGGAGCAAAATCAAGCACTTTGTGGGAAAGCTGTCTGTGTTTGTCTTCTGACAGGATTTGGAAAAAAGTTAGATTCATCAGCTTACTCCGCTAGTTGTGAAAACACTAAAGAAGCTGCAGACGAATCCTATTATCATCGTGTCTCCACTGGTGGCTCTCATGGACGACCAAGTTATTAAGCTGGGTATTTTTGCTATGAATGCTTAAAAAGCCTTTTATGCACAGGTTTTTCCTACAAATTCTACAAAAATTGATTCATGATGACACGATTTCTCAGTAAACTATAAACAGTGGTCTACATTTCAGTAAACAAGTCCCACCTGTCATTCCTGGTGCACGTCTGAAACATCACAATTCACTGCAACAATTGGCTGAAAGCTAATGAAGGCAGGTACTAGCTGGCACGTCACCCAATCAGCTCGAAGTATTATACTAAACGCACCTCCTTTCCCCCCAGACACACTGAACGGCATCATCCCAGATTTATAACATAGAACTCAACTCAGTTGTATACATATCAATCTGGATACTGCCAGGTTGGAAGAAACCAAAACAAATCTGAAAGAAATAGCTGCAGCACACATTAGAGACATGATTCGGATTTTGAATTTATTTTGCTAGGTAGTGTAATTCTAAAGCATTCAAACCAATAGTTTTTAGAACCTATTAGGTGAGATTTACACCTGACTTGGGCCTTCCAGTAGCCAGAAATGATGAAATGCCTCCTCACTTCCTGTAGCGTCTGCTTTACAAAAACTTCTCCTGCTGACTCAGTGCATGTAAAATGTCTGCACCTGTAACCCAGCATCACAATCATGAAATTAATCAAGTGTCTTGTTTCTAAAAAGAAAGCAAATGAATACATTTGTTTTTATACGTAGATGTGGTGCAACTTGGTGCTGTGCATCCAGGCTGGAAGCCGTTTAGATTTGTAGATAACAGAGCAGAGTGTGTGGATGTTTCTTCCCTGCACACTCAGCTTAAATCTAATCTGAAATCATGTTTGCATATAGGCGTACTCTTCTCGGTGCATTCAGACGGGGTTGAATGTTTGCATTTTGTTTGTTTGTGGTTATTAACTGACCCACTTATGTTTTCTCATTTTGTGTCTCTGCAGGAAGTTTGGGGAGCGCCCTCAGCCACTGCGCCTAACAAGGTAAGAGCTAGTTTGTCACCCTATTAGCTCTCACAATGCATGTTTGGACGTCTTTCTCCGTACGTTGGGGGAAGAGTGCAGCCTTTTCTGATCATAAGTGAAGCCAGGGCGGCTTCGCTGTGCTTTGCAGGAGTATTCATTCACTTGAACTTCCACATCATGCTGAGTTGTGACCACAGACTTCAGTATATTTGTTTGGGGTTTTATGTGACAGACCGGTGCAAAGTAGGGAATAGTTATGACTCGGAAGGAAAAATAATGCTTTTGTTTTTCAAAACATGTCATAAAGAAAAAGAATCTGTCGGTGTAACGTGCTTTCATTTTATTCAGGGGTTATGGCCCCTAAATAAAGTCCATGTCAACTAATAGTTTATGTTGTAAAACTGATATCACTTCTGTACAACGTATTGTCAGACTAAAGGAAAAGGTTTAAAAAAACAAAACCAGAAAATTGGAAATTCTGTCTGTAGACCAGAACACTGAGCACCCTATCCCTGTATTGAAGCACGGTGACGACACCATCATTCTGTGGGACTGGAAAGCTGATGGGTGATGCAAAAAGCTTAAAGTTGAGGTTCGCCTTCCAGCATGGTTTTAACCCAAACCCTAGAACCAGTGGCTCCAAAGAGTTAACCAAGCAGGCCAGACTTCTCTAATTTATCATTTGAAAATATTATATTTTCATATTTTCTTCCCACTTCACAATAATGTGCTTTAGTTATGTCTATTTATGGCGTACTGCTGTTTTGTCTCATTGGCAAGGACTGCTGCGTTTCTCCAGTCCGATCATCCTTCCAGTATCTCTTCCCTGTTGTATTACATCATAACTCTGCTGCCATCGATCATCAGCCTGATCTCCAGTCCACAGAGACTTTGTTAACAAGCCTCTGTTAAAACGAGCTTCGTTCTCACAGTTTGTTTGGGTAAAATCAGCCCAAGAGGCAATAATTCCCCTCATCCTCTGTCTTTAGGTCTTAAACTTGCTCTCTCTACCCCTCGCCGTGTGATGAAGTGTAGCTCCGACCTGCCTGGCTGCAGATTATTCAATCATTTGTCTTCCGTTTGCTCCTGCTCACTTAGAGCTGTATGTTTTTGGGCGCTGCGGCTGGCTGTAAAGATCGGTTGTCATCTTTGTTGTTTGGAGCAGGTTATTTGGTTGCATCGTATGCGTGTTTGTGTGGAGGGGGGGCATGTGCTCTGCCTTTGCACGTGGCTCTAGTTGAGGAAATTGAGGGGTTGCACATCGGTTGGAACAGTGGAGCTTTGGTTTTGGAAAAGATGGGGCCCAAGCATCTTTTGATGGGTCCCCCTCTTTATTCATGTGCTGCCAGCTCCCTGGCTTCCAAGTGGCCCTCTGGTTCATATGAGGGTTTCTGATGGCCCAAAATATGACAGACATGGACTCTCTCCCCGCCAGCTGAAAGGCCCAGAACAGAGAGCTTTAAGTGTGAGGTCGTACCAATGTGAAGCTCTGCTCTTTGTTTTTATATTTTCAGTTCCCCATTTCTAAAGGTTTTTGTTGCAACATTTATTTACTTTTAACTGTGGCTGAAAGACTTTTCTTGTTTGTTTGCATCCTGGAGCACAGAGAATGCATCATACTGCTCATCTTTTTAGTGTTTCCCTCAGGCTGCAGAGGAGCTTGTCCATATCAAGGGTTAAAGTTCTCCGTCTCTACGACGGATTTCCGTCATTTGAGAATTTTTTGGGGAATAGTAGACTTGGATTGATTTTATTTTCTCATTTTGTACACAAGTGTATACAAAAGAAATTTCGTTTAGTAAAGCTCTTTAGACTTTTTCATTTTTTAAAGTGCAGCCTTGATAAAGGTAAGCAGCAGTGATAAAAAAAAACATTCAGATGAAAAAAAACACTGTGGTGAAAAAAAGTGATTAAACATATGGCTGACAGTTCTAACATTTCTGTTTTTTTTTTTCCAGTAATAAGTAATAGGTAGTAGTTAATAGTAATAAGTCCCACATGTTGGTGATGATGCCTGCGTGTGGCATTATGTGCGCTTTGTGTCCAAAATATGATAAACTCACTGTCTAAGCAAATCTTTGCGCCCATCAAAGTTGCTGCAATGTGACTATTGTAGTAGTGCAATGTGAAAGAACTGGTTAAACTTTCACTTCACTCCGAGCTACACTCGCTCTCCTCTCTTTCTTTGTGGTAACATTATCAGACCTAACCCGGAGTTAGCAGGGGTTTACTGTTTTAGCAACAGTAAACTGTACGGTTTATAAAGAAATTTGAGGAATAATGCCTTGGCTGACAACTTTTAATAAAGACGTTTTAACATAATAAAGGACCACTTTAAAGGTGGGAGGGGTTTAGGGTTGCAAAAACGAAGTCCCTTTAAGCTAACACCATAACACAAGCCCCACATGGAAGCACTGTTTGTCGACGAATCTTTGACAGCAGAGTAAGGAGAGGGGCGAAGATGGTGTTCCCTTTGGATTATTGTGCAGAATGATTAAACAACCAGGTGTGTGCATGTGTGTAGTTTGCCATAAGAAAATCCTCTATGGTAGCAATGGTAAAAAAAATACTGGTGTGCCATCAGTCAGAAGCAACACGCGAGACTGCTGTGCGCTCTATTCAACAAATAACAAGCCTACCCGGTACCTTAGCAGCAACAAACACATCTGAAAGTGTGAGTGTGCGCTTTCCTAGCCGAACATGACCTGCTCACCACGTCACTGCTGGTGGAGTCGATCCAGTTATGCAGCACTGATAAGTGCGCCCTGTCAAGGCTGTCTATATCCAATTCACATGCATCTTACTTTTGCATATCTGCTTTTTTTTATTTTTATTGAATTTTATTGATTTCATGTTGGAGAAATTTACCTCTGCATTAACCCATCCACTTGGGGAGCAGTGGGCTGCCACTGTGAGGCTAATATGGATCTAATTCTTAATGTCCTTTTTAGGTATTTTGATGAAGAGAAGGATAAAGTTTTAACTCTCCATCTTTTCTCAAGAAAAGCTCATGTAGCAGATTCAAAAACCATGTCATAAATACTGTGATATTCTTGACACCTATTCCTTAAAATGGGACCAGACTGTGTTGGTCCTGCTGGACAGTTTTAATGTAACTCGAGGAAAAAAAATCTGGAGAGGAAAAGCCGACTAGAAAAGAAAATCCTGCCCTCCTTGATATTAGTGGAGACGCAGTGCACCCCAAAGCCCCCCCCCCCCCCCCCCCCCCCCAATAAAAGCTAACTTCCCTAACCACACTTTTTTTTTTACCTTTATACGTAAACCTTGCATTTTCTTATATATACGTTTTCTCTCATTCCTTAGACAGGCTTTTTATATTTTTGTACTCTCTAAATGTCCATTATATTTAAATAAAGAAAGTATGCCCAATACGCCACATTTTTTGTTCAATGCGGACACTGATTTTTTTCAGTCAGATGATAATTTATTGCTTTAATCCATGACCTATTTGAAGATCTGAGGCAGTGTGTTGTGGCAGGATATGCATCTTTCTGTCCAGTAATCCCATATTTTTTGGCCCACCCAAAAAAAAAAAGAAAAATTACTGGCAGTGAGTTTTTTTCCATCCACATAGATAGATGTCGTCCCACTTTATTTAAAAAATGTTTAGATTTAGACTGGGCAGTTTTAAAGTTGTAGGGAAACGGTTCTGTTCCAACAGATGCATTTCTATATTCTCCGGAGTGGTGCCCGATTTTACACGAGTGAATAAAGCGGATGTGATTGGTCGTTTATCAAGGGGGCGGGATTTTTGTGGTGGAAGGTTGGCAAGCAAGTTTTATTGTGGTAGGGGAACCTTCCGTGCCATGCAGGATTTCCATGACATCTTAGTGTATTACCAAGAGTTACCTTGGAAACGGTGGTCCCAGCTCTTTTCAGGTCATTGACCAGCTCCTCCCGTTTACTTCTGGGCTGATTTGTCACATTTCTTGGGATCATTGAGACCCCCTGAGATGAGATCCTGCATGGAGCCCCAGTCCAAGGGAGATTGACAGTCATGTTTAGCTTCTTCAGTTTTCTAATGATTGCTCCAACAGTGGACCTTTTCTCACCAAGCTGCTTGGCAATTTCCCCATAGCCCTTTCCAGCCTTGTGGAGGTGTACTATTTTGTCTCTAGTGTCTTTGGACAGCTCTTTGGTCTTGGCCATGTTGGTAGTTGGATTCTTACTGATTGTATTGGATGGACAGGTGACAACCTCAAACAGGTGCATCTAATTTAGGATAATAAATAGAGTGGTGGTGGACATTTTAAAGGCAGACTAACAGTTCTTTGAGGGTCAGAAATCAGGCTGATAGATACTTACTTGCAGCTGTGTCATACAAATAGATAGTTAAAAAAACATACATTGTGATTTCTGGATTTATTTATAGATTATGTCACTCATAGTGGGCATGCACATACGAAGACAATTTCAGACCCATCCATGATTCCTAAGCAAGAGAACTTGCAAAATAGCAGGTTGTTCAAATACTTATTTTCCTCACTGTATCTGGGATGGGTTATTAAACTCGTAGGGAAGCGGCTGTTCCAACGGATGCAGTTTCAAATTCTCCCGAGTGGTGCACGACTTTACACGAGTGAATAAAGCGAATCTGATTGGTTGATTATCAAGGGGGTGGGATTGTTGTGATGGAAGGTTTGTAAGCTAGTTTGATTGTGGCCTGTGTCTCGGAAGCATCTTGCTAACCAGTTAGCAACTTAGTGCTAGTAGTTTCCCAATGGGAAATTAGATTGGGACCAAGTAGCAGTAAATCGGTGACTTGGCAACGACACTGTCAAGGAACGCTATGGACAGCGGAAACACGCAAGAGGAGGAGAGTTTTGTGTCGGGGGTTGTGGATGAGTCTCCCCCATCATACATTTTTTATTCAGAGGAGGAAAGAGGGGACGAAATCTGTGGAAGAGTTGTGGAAGAGGATGCCAGGGTGGCAGAAGCTTGGTTTGGTCTAGAAGGCTTACAGCCATAAATGTTTGAGCCCTTGCCTCGCAATGCTGCAGGTTCTGTTAGCTCTACGCCTGCTGAAGACACAGACATCCATCCCTGTGAACACTGGGACGGAACTCAATGGGAAAGTAAATGATTCTTATTTCTTATTTCAACCGTTGCATATATTAGCTGCGACATATGAATCAAGATGCTATGACCGAAAACATTTAATCAACAGATGACCATTGATACGATTGGCCGAACTTAGGTGTACAGGCTGATGTATAACTAACTGGCCTGCATAATTTAATGAAGAAAAAAAACAAAAAACAAAAAAAAACAGAAAATTTCTATTTAAAAAAAATCCTGTCTTAAAATCTAACTTCTGGGACAATATGGTCTGATAAAGAATACATTTATATACATGTTTAAGCCAGAATCATCTGATATTTAAATATGACCTTCCTATGACTTTAAAGGAGAGATAATAACTTCCCACTATTTGGGCTTGCTATTAAACCGTTGCAGGGTTGCAGATGCCATCTCTGCATTGTCGTTGAACTTTGGTCTGTTTGACTCACACACCCACTCAAGATTTTCTGCTACTCTGACATGTCTTGCACATTTTTTTTTGTGCTTTTGTGTTGTTGTTTTTTTTTTGGGTCTCACCTTTTAATCATTTCCTTTTTTGGGGTTTATCTGTTCTCTGTCCCTCATTTCAATTCTGTCAGGCTTCTGTCAGGCTTAACATGCAGGTTTCCTTTTTAGCATAGCAAATATTAGACATCCTCTCTTTAGATTATTAGTGTTCGATTTCCATTGTTTTTTTTTTTGCACACAAGGATGTTTTTTTGTGTTTGTCTGCACGCTAGTTTTCCACAGGAAGTTGGTTTGTTTGTGCTGGTCAATATCTCACTTCTCCTTCCGTCTTTTGCACCAAGAGTGACAAAACTTGATGTCTTGTGTGTGAGAGGTTCTGATCAGTTAAATCTTTTTTTTTTTTAAGAGTTTTGTTCCTCTTCTCTCTGCTTCAATAGCCTGCTATTGCTACACCTATGAACTTCTACATGATTTCAATTGATAACAAGAAGCAAAGGAAAATGCTGTGTGGGTGATAACAAATGTTGTATATTACAATAATGATACATGGCAGTGGCTTTATTATGATGTGGGGTTGCTTATCTACTGCAAGCAAATGGAAGCTGATCAGAGGTAGGGGTGTAAATCACACCCATCATGGCGATTCGATTCAGTATCGATTTCCTGACCAATTGATTCGATTATTTTCGATGCTCAAATAGTTCATTTTATTTAAGAAAAAACAGCAAATAACAGAAGTAGTAAAGTTGAACTCCACCTAGGCCTATTAAAACCTCATTCACCGAAAAATAATAATGCCCCTGCATTATAGATTCTGAAAGGATTTGCATCAAAAAATACCTCACAAAATCAGTGCAATGAGTGCAATATAATACCTTGACTCCAGAGTGTCGACGTCCCCGCCCCCTCCGCAGACACTCAGCTGCACCTCTCCCAAATTGACAGGAGGCCGGAGGCCGGCTTGTTTTGTTTTTATGACCGAAATTGCGGAAAAGAACTCGTGAAGTTGGACCAGCTATAAGAGCGAGGTGCGTGAGAACGCTGGGACCCTTTTTCCACCTGGATCCCCGCTCTTTTTCACCCTCATGTCCCTCCGTTGTGGGACAAACTTGCCCCCACTTCCTCACCGCCTTGGCCGTATCTAGACCCACAGCGTATAGCGCAGACCACGCTTCAAAATGAGCATAAATCTAAAATTCGATGCATTGGATCGTCGGCTGTTGGATCGATGGATCGTTACAAAACGATTATTATTTACACCCCTAGTCAGAAATGATTGGGGGGAAAAAGAAATTATTTGAGTTATTACTTGATTTATGAGATAGTTAAGGTATATTTTAGGGCTGCAACTAGCGATTATTTTAAAAATCGATGATTCGGACGATTATTTTTTCGATTAATCGATGAATCGGACAAAAAATATTTTTTATATTAACCTCTTTATTCCAAAATAAACATTTTAGACAGAACAAACAAGCACACAAGTACAGGTTGCTCATTAACTGTACTGGTGGAATATGAAAAATAAATGTTTGTGTTAAAACTACGCAAACTTACATGAGAAATGTAGCTGTACATCCACAAAATATAGGGTACTTTGTTGCATAAAGCGCAAAAAAGACAGGTAGTTTTGTTTTTAAAAGCCCCTAAGGGGTTCAAACAATAGGCCCCCCCATTTCAACAAATTAGGTTTTTTAGACTAGAAGAGTTCTGCCTTTTAAGACAGGAAAGTATAGCAGTTAAAGTTGCTACTTGAGAAAATACTGAACCATAGAGATAAAAATAGCCCTGTGATTCAAATTATAAATTGTATTTGGAATAAAAATGAGAGAACTAGGGGTGTTAAAAAACACATCCTCCAAAGACAGATATTTACATGGGAATGTGGCATATAATTAATTGACATATTACTGATCTTGCTAGATTTTATTCTGCTTTACTTCCATAAATTGCAGGATCTTCTTTACTTTATTTTTGCCAGAAGATTTAAACTTTAAAAGCCTTGCCCTCATAATTTCCAAGTTAATTTATTTAGAAAGTAAATATAAACGCTGCTTAAGCTAATTCAAATGAAATTAAAAGTAAAATAAGTAGCCAACCTTATCACTGTCTGTAACCTACTAACACGGTAAGGGAAGCATCAGATGAGCTACCTGAGAAACTAACGTTACGTTTCCCCACTTTAAAACCAAACAAACATGGTGGTTCTGTGCCATGTTAATTTCTTTTGAAAAAAGTTGCATGTTATCACTTTTTTCGCTTTACAAAGCGCAGGCTATTTTAATTATTGTGATCAATTTGCGCCGTCAATCCTGGTGCATGCGCGCTTCATTTGCAGTCTGGACGCTGAGGCTCTGACTGCAGCGCTGAGAGGGACTTCTGCGGGAGAACGGGGTTGGGATGGGGGAGGCGCCCCACGGCAGAATAGGAACGATACATGCTTTCACTAAGAGTCTCCAAAAGCCGCCAGTGACACCGAAAAAAGTCGCCAGATTTGTCGCTAGTCGCTTTTTTGAAAAATAGTCGCTGGAGGGGTCTGAAAAGTCGCTGAGTTGGCAACACTGCACCTGCGGCGCTGACTCGCTCTGCCATATTTTTTTTTTTTCTTCCTCTTTCAGTCAAGAGGCAGTGATGACGACGCGGCGGATGACGCAATAATCGCGCGACACAACTAATCGATGATGAAATTCGTTGCCAACGCTTTTAAAAGTCGATTTTTATCGATTTTATCGATTCGTTGTTGCAGCCCTAGTATATTTATACAAAGCTCTGGTGGATGTTTAGATTTGGTTTCTGTGTTTTTAAACAAATGGTTTATTGAACTTCTCATCTATATTTTTCCCAAACAGGGATATTTTAGTCCTAGTCTTTCCCAATTTAAAGCTTAGCTAGCTCAACACAGGAGGGCTCAGTTCCTGACATTCGTCTTCGAACAAACTCGGGACAAAGTGCAGGTTGAATGAAACATGTTTGATTGATGATCCACAAAGAATTCGATGTTGAAACTAAAAATTAAGTTTTAAAATATCTTTTCTTTTTTTAGACTTTTCTTATCCTTTTGACAAAACACTAGAATGCATAAATTTTTCATCCATCCATCCTTGGACCCTTGCTGCTTTACTTTATTGGACTGTTGTTGTTTTATTCCTTTTTCAGTATTTTCTTATATTAGGCCTTTCCACTGAAAAAAACTACCACAAATTTATATAAAAATTTTTTTTTTATGGTTAAATATTTTAGGATCTCAAACTCTAGAAAAATGTATTATAACAAAATGTATTTATTTATATTTTCTCTCAAAGCCTTGGATTAATCCTAATAACCGGAGGTGTCAGATCAATTAAAGTTTTTAACGGAACACAGGCAATAATTTCCATATTTCCCAATTTTAGTTTTCCCGTCCGATGTTCACATCCACTAAAAATGTCATTAAAGTGGAGTAAAAAAAAAACATTTTCCAGCCCATTATAAAATGGATAAACCACAATTCCTCTTGGACCTCCTCCTCCTGCATCCGCCTCTCTGCGGCGCTCTGAGGAGGCCCCATGCTTTTCATTAGAAAGCCTCTCAATAAGCTGGCTGTGTGGAAGTGGGAAGCCCTGTGTAGACCCTGGCCTGACAGGTGTCACTGACATCTGCTGATGAGTGCAGAAGGAGTGGAGGTGTGGTGTGCTGATTTCCTATAAACATTCTGTTTGTTAGCATGCTTGAAGCCCAGAATGCATCAGAAAGGTTTGCTACAGGGAGCATGAAGGGGGAAAAAAAACTATCAGAAAATAAGAAGTCCTTTCTGGTGAGGTCAGCTTTGTTGTTGTTGTTTCTCTCTACATCTTCTGGTTCTCCTCCATCTTCCCCTCTCCTGCTCCTCTCTGTCCCCCAGGCGCTAAAAGTTCACCCCACCCCCACACGGACACATCTGGGGGAGAGCAAGCATAACTTCTTGGCAAGCTCTCAAGCTTTTGGTTGGGTCATTTTAAGTTCACCGTATGCGTTTCTTCACCTCATCCTGATGACATATTTGACACCCATGCATTGACTTAAAGCAACACTCTGAATCTGATGCTAATCTAAAAAATAAAAGGTTGCAGAATGTAACCTTACTCCTCTTTTTCCTTGTGTTTTGTTGCAGAGAAGCGATGAGGAATTACCTAAAGGAGCGAGGTGACCAAACCGTCATGATCCTGCATGCAAAGGTTGCACAGAAATCCTACGGCAATGAGAAAAGGTGGGGACCATGAACACCAAACTCCTTGGTTATTCACTTCCTGTCTCTTCTAACTGTCTGAGCTGTTGCCACACGTTTGACTACAGACCTCAAACTTTCAACACGCTGTTGTGCGATACAGAAAAAATCCTGAAAATCCCTGAAAGATAAAACAGACTAGTTATTCCACATCTTCTTGCTGTGGATTTTTAACCCTGAGTATCTTTAGTTTTAAAAGCATATCATTATATGCTAACAGACTGTATGGATTGTGATATTTAGCAGGAAACTAAATTTTAAACATTCTTAATGCAACTTCTACAAGTCAGTGATCTATCTTCCCTGTTGGAGAAGGTTTCACTGCCCTAGAAATCTACCAGTCAGAATATTACCATATTAGTGCTTTATTCTGCACTATAAAACCAGTCGTTGGACATCATGCAGCCCTGGATTATCTAATGAAGGATATTAAACAGCTTGTAAACAAATATGAAAGTTACAGCTGTAATACTGGCTGGTTTAGCTTAGCTTATTTATTTATTTATTTTGTTAAAAAGTTGGCAGCGTTGCCTTGCAAGCAAGAAGATCCTGGGTTTAAATCCAGATCTTCTTGGAAAAAAGGATGTGATGGTTCTTGTTTTTTAGGGGTTACTAAACAGTCAGGAAGAGGCTTGAGAATATGGAGGGTCAGGAATGCCACAATTGAATAAATTAGGAAATCACCTTTCAAAAAATCAAAAACCCTTAGGAAATCACTTTTTATATGTCATTAATTTATACAGTTTTGTTAAAATATAAAGAATTGATTTAATAAATATTTAATTCATTATATAAACCTCAGTTAGATATAGTAATTTTATATTAAGTGAATAATTATTTCATAATTTAGTAATTGATTAATGTTCCTGCACTGATTTAAACTGTCGCACATCCATTTAAGTCAAGGAGGCAGTTCAATGACCGTCTCCATAGAAACGCTGACATGATTGGCTGCTTCTGAGCAAGAAAAGACAACTGCCTTTTCTTCTATTTTTATTTTAAAGTCAGTATTATCGCGAAAGAAGGTGGAAATTTGTTTCACTTTTTTACAGCAAATTGGGAGAGAAAATCCAGCCTTTATATCCTTGATTTGTTCTGAAATCTATAATAAACTAATGAGAGCTTCCTGAGGTCTAATGAGGAGGGAGCTGCCAGAGATTTCAGCAGAATCAAAGTTAGCCCCGCCCACTCACTCACACCTGCTTACAGTCTCTTTAAGGCTACGTTCACACAGCGGCCTGAAGGGCTCCAAATCCAATTTTCAGGCCTATATGCAACCTCTATCTGATCGTTTCATGGCAGTCTGAACAAGACAGAATAATTTTTTTTTCCAATGCAATCCAGGCCACTTTATGTGGTCCTGAAACCGATACGAATCTGATCTTTTCAAGGTCAGGTCCCATTCATCCTACCATTACATTACATTTATTACATGTTTAAGAAAAGTCCCTACTCTGCTCCTTACAACGCAGGAGCAGGGAGAAAAAGAATCATGGCGGACAATAGTGTGGAGAGCAGTTGCGCTGCCTTGTTCCGTTTGGAAAAGAAATAAAACATCACTAGGTTCACTCCAGCACTACCATCCATGTTTACTTCCATAAACACAGAGCATGCTCGGTACTTGTGATGTCATCACATCCTCTAATGCATGTGCGGGACACTTAAAGCTACAGTGTGTAATAATTACAGGGATATACAGTCAGAAATGGAATATATTATACATAACTATGTTATTTATCATCATCTACGAGCTCAGCCTCTTAACCTTAATATTTGCGTTGCCTTAGAATTCGTTATTTATAATTACATAGGAGCGGGTCTCGCAGCCATGGAGGCAGACATCTTTGCGCTACGGCAGCGCAGAGCCAACAAACTAGCAATTGCGAGATCGCCCATTACGCTCGAAAGTAACTACGGCAAGTTGAGAGAGATGAACTGAGACGGTACTGAACAGTAGATGGCAGTATTAAAATTATCTATGTAAACAAACCTCATCACTTGAGAAGGTAGGTGATGTGGACGTCGTGGAAGACACTTTGTCCCGTAACGCTCGCCGTACTGTTGGGGGGGGAGAAGCGGTGGGGGGGAGATGTTCATGTTGCTGCGGTCTGCAGTCTGAACGTTAGATGTCGCTAAAAATTACACACTGTAGCTTTAAGCTGTGACACTGCAGCTCACACAGGAGATCACATACGAGTCGCATATATATGGAAATGTGAACGACCATGTTAAAGAATCTGAACTGAGCATTAAGCCCTGCAGTATGAATGTAGCTTAAGAGACCAAAGTATGGCTATAAAGGCTGGAGTTACTTACCCAATGTGCCAGAAATAATTACAACACATTTAAGAAATTGATTTACATCTTTTCAAGCAAAAATGTTGACCGAGTGGAAGAAAGATAAGGAAAAAGTTGCCTCATCTTTCTCAGAAACGGCCAATCAGATTGTTAGGGTTTCTATGGAAACAGATCTAGCTTCTCTTTTTCACTTATGGATGTGTTATTATTAAGATTAATCACTTGTATGCTTCAGACCAAAAACATGAAATGATTAAAATGATGAAATAATTATATTTAATTTTTATGAAATAAATTCCTTATTTATTTCCAGTTTTAATGAATAAATGAAACAACGAAATAATTATTGAAGTTATTTATCTATTGCGGTTCTCTTCACCCTGCGTATGAGAACCCTGTAAATACATTAATAGGTCTGGATCAGTATGGAAAACAATACAACCTGTGTGTGAACGATTTCTAAATATCAAGGTTTTAACTTTGATAGTTTTTGGTAAAATCTCAGAGTGGTGGAGACTTGATGTAATGATGAGGAATGACAAAAAAACAATAAAAAAAATATCTACAGCGACACCAATGATATTGAAATCCGATGTTTTCTTTCACAACTATTTTTCTTTTTTTGAATAAACAGAACCAATGACTAGACCAATAGATTGATCTATTGAAGATAAATCTCTAAAGGAAAGGAATCCTTGAGTCCAGGAAGTGTGCAGCCATTGCATCCCTCCAGCAGGGCGTCTTAGAGTCCTCAATGCTTCCCTTTGCAACGAAGCTTTATGGACCCGGCAGGCCTCATTTTAGATTATCTATGCAGTTTCATCAGCATCTGATGCAACGCCTCCTGCTTTTTCTTTTTTTTAAGTTCTGACTGATTTTCTTCCTCAAACCCTTCCTGTCATACTGCTCTTCAACTTTGCACCTCTAACTGCAACTTTTTATAGCCTCCCACCCCTCCTTACCCTCAAACGTTCCGAACGCTCATTTTTGCTGTGTTTTTTGGCCTCCCGTTTGCAACACTGCTTGCAATCTCATCAGGCCCATCTCCTGGTAAATCAAATGTTGATCCCAATGCTGGAGCCCAACATTTGGAAAAGATGATTTTGTGTTTGTCCAGTTAAACAGGCAGCAGGAATTTGTCGGATGCTGGTTTGTTAGATGATTATCAGTCCATCAGAAAAAAGTTGCAAGAATGATCTGCTCTTCTGTTAAATGCCATCTGCGTCCTGCTCCTGCACACTTCTCTCAGTTTTTTTTTTTTTTGCCTGTTTTTTTACACATGAGCCGAATTGTAGATGCATAAAGAAGTTCAAACATGCAGCTCCCTGTTTCTTGCATCCTTTCGCTGTCTGCCCTTTTTTTTTTTTTTTTTTTTTTTTTAGGAGGTGAAAGTAGACAAACACCCACAGAGGCGGCCTGGAGTTGCGAAATGGCTTTTCTTTCCAGTTCCCTACTGTCGCACATGAACTCATTTAGAGCGTCTTTGTCCTGCAAAGAAGCAGATTTTTTTTTTTTTTTTTTCCATCTTTCAAAGCTTGAGTTTTCCTCTTTCTAGGCTGATTTTGGATTTGGTTAATCTGTTTAAAAGCACAGTAGAAAAGTCTAAAATTCATTTAGGATTGATTTTATTTCAATTTTTGTCAAGGTGTGTCCTCTTAACATCTTTTGGACAAAGTGCATCAGCTTTAAAATAAGTTGCAGGTAAAATTGAAATTGGTTTTACTTGGCTGGGAGAAAGGTGATCCTACACTGCCCTCTATTGGTGCAAAATTAAGATGCACTTTTGGTTTGTTTTGACATAAAGGTACGGTTTCTCCTAAGTATTTGAGCTAAAATCTTTGTTTTTCCATTAAAATGTAAATAAATATGTTCTTTAAATCTCCAGTCTCTTGCAGAGAGAACATATGATGCTTGGTTCCTCAAACCTGTTATGATAAACAACCAACGCCTGCTTGTTTCCAGGTTCTTCTGCCCTCCTCCTTGCGTGTACCTGATGGGCAGCGGCTGGAAGAAAAAGAAGGAGCAGATGGAAAGAGACGGCTGCACGGAGCACGAGTCACAGCCTTGTGCCTTTATTGGCATCGGCAACAGCGACCAAGAAATGCAACAGCTCAACCTGGAGGGAAAGGTATTGGTCCTAAAGAATAAAAATAAAAAGTGAAATCCCTCCAGTGAAGTAATGAAGGGCAGTTTTTCCTGATGAGAGATCATACCTGGAGATGGGCGGGGTTTTTGTAAACATAAAAAAAGATCAGATGGGTCTGACTCAATAGTTGTTTGCTAACTTGTTTACCAACATGCTAACATCATGTACATTTGGTGGGATTAAACTAAAAGGAATCAAAGTTGACATTAGTATTATAGTTTACTTATAGAGTGAGAACACATTTAATTCTACTAAATTTCTTTAGTAAAGTTTTACCTCAAAAATGTTTGACCTTAAACACCCCTACCAGGGGAAGAGTTTTACTTTTTCATTTTTATTCTTATTCTTGTGTTGCTTCTTCTACGTTGCCCTAATTAATTCTTTAATGTCCACAGAAACGCAACAAACAAGGTTGAATTACTTTTGAAATTTAATTAGTTTTTGTTTCTTATCTAGTTTAGACTTCTGATTATCAATTTTATTTAGGTTTTAATTTGTATTCAATATTTGTTAGCAAGTTTGGATTTTATTTCTTGAAAATTCTTATAGTTTCCATTTTTTTTGTTCATTTCTATTATAGTTTCAGCCTTTTATGTAAAATGACTTGCATACTGGAGGAAAGATAAAAAAAAAAAAAATAAAAAACAAAGAAATAAAATCCTAGATAAGGACAGACCGCTGCAGCACTACACATGACCTTACTGCTGTGCTGCCATCTGCTGGCGTAATGCGGTGGAACAGAAAAAGGCGAAACCAGTAACTCTATAATAAAGACCCAAACAAAAACTAAGCACATTGTCTCCAACTTCAGTTAGTTTTAATTTTGTGAACTTTAAAAAAAAAAAAAAAGTTTTAGTTATTGTTTTTTTTTTTTATATATATATTTTTTAATTTATTTAACAGAATTGGTTTTTAATTCTAGTTTTTATAATTTCATTGGTTTTAGATAATGACTATAACCTTGGTCAGAATCTTGGCTAAAAGCCGATATGAAGCATTTTTCACAGCAAACACCAAAAAAACCAGAAAGTAAAGAAACTCCAAAAGTCTCACAGACTGGCAGGCAGGGTTCATTAAACCAGCAGCAATCGTGACCAGAATAATGAACCGCATTTGAAAAACTTGATTTATAACATTTCTTACTTTGTTCCCTTTTTTCCAAATCCTAAACCCATCTCAATGCAGCCGTGTTTGCTGAACCACTTTGTCTCCCAGTATCTAACCAGCTTAGATTTCATGTGTTTGAAGGCGAACAGCGCCCAAGAATGGTCAATACCACGGAGGAAGCATTAGAACTCATTACTAAAGACACGCCGACACTCACATTTACACCAAACCGCACGCCATGTTACCATGGCAATGATGCCAACTGATGTGCCAGGATGCTGGCTCTCCAAAAATGAAAACTGCCATCCATTGTGTCTCCCCCTTTGTTCTACACCTAGAATAAATCGATTAGATCAGTGGCATGATGAAGTTCAGTGTCATAGAAATTCAGAGTATATTTTGCTGGTTTTTAGTTACTTACATTTGTTTGCTTGTATTTTTCTTTCAGTAAATCCACTCCAGTTGGAGTCAAACAGATGTTTCCTCAGTTGCATGAAAATAAAGTAAAATAAGTAGAATTTGATTGGGCCACAGTTGGTTCCTGAGATTCCTTAGGAGTCTTTACTAAACAACTGCTGGTTCTAAGAACATGAGTGGGAGAAACAAAAATGGATTGAAGAAAGATGAGGAACAGCTATTCAGGAAGCTCAGGTCTAACGCAGAGCTAGAATTTACCAACAAAATGAGCATGATGGTGGTAGCATCATGCTGAGGGACTGTTTCACTGCAGGAGGAGGAGAAAATACAGATGATTTCGCTTTACCTCAGTTTATTTTATTGCAAATATATTAAACTTTGGTTGTTGGTCATAATTAATGGCTGTAATGATTATAAACCCTCCAGAATTACATCCAAGTCATCTTCCTGGCTGCTGAAAGCTTGCTTAGGAATTTACCAATGAATGAAGGACTGTATTTCTTTCAGACAATCCTTTAAAATCCTAAATTTAACACATGCAAACAGCAATGGTACACCTAATTTAGTGCTAGAGAAAATCTTCAGTAAAGTAGAAAGAAAAATGATTAAAATAATCTTTAAAGAATCTTTAAAAATGACTTTTTTATTGAGCAGTCAGTCCGTTTAGCGTCTTTCCAAATGTTTATGGTTTCTCTCCCTCTCCACCGGCAGAATTATTGCACAGCCAAAACCTTGTACATATCCGACTCCGACAAGAGAAAGCACTTCATGTTGTCTGTCAAGATGTTCTACGGCAACAGCGCAGACATCGGCGTCTTCCTCAGCAAGAGGATCAAAGTCATCTCCAAGCCCTCCAAAAAGAAGCAGTCGCTCAAAAACGCTGACCGTGAGTTTCCTTCTTAAGTCTTAAAACCTTGAACTTTAAATCTCTGTGTTTTCCAGATACAATAAAAATATCTTATTTTGCAGATTCTTTCTGGGGTTCTAGTGCCTATTTTTACCATTTTCTGTTTTGTTTTTAACTGTGTCACCAGAAGTTTTGTTTGCGCATATCTCAAAATATTCTGTTGGAGAAGGCATCAGAAGGATTCTGCTTTATTTAAACTATTTCTTTCCAAAATACCTGAATATCCGTATTTTGAAAGTATGTTTTATCTGCTAATATTTAACATTTATGAGGACATGAATTTAACTCGTGTGTCTACATGTTAATGTAATAACTCCTTTGCATTCATTGATTCATTTAGTGCAAGAAGTTTTTCTATGAATCTACATCCAGATTATTATCCTTTTAATCTTAAACATTGCCTCGTTAATTATTCAATTTAGTCTGCTACTTATTACAGAAATTAAAGATAAGGTCTCTTTTTGTCTGGTATTCATGTTTGATGCTGTAGTGCTGCTCTGTTAGCGGGTGTTATTGTAGACTGGTCCTGTGTTTCCCATGTCTGCAGCACCGTTAAGGCCCTGGAACTGGTTCAGGCACATTTCTATAGCCGTTCTATAGTCGTAAATCTTTTCATCAGCTCGTTAAAACTGTCAGATCTTTTTCCCACAGTAGAAACATAATAAATCAAAAAAAGAGAACAGGGTGACTTCTTTAAATGTTTTTTGTTTCAGCTTTTAGGAAAATACATCCAGTTTGTTACCTGAACCTTTCTAGGTTTAGTTTGATCTAAATCTGGGAAACTGTTTCATTTCCAAGCCAGAAATTACCCTAAATGCCGAACCTCCCAAAATGATAATGGACAAACTTGAGATCATTCTACAAATGACTCTTAAACCTGAAATAATGTGAATAAAAATATATGTTCAGCCACCAGAGAGCAGCACCTTTAAATCTACAACATCTGTCTGTTAACTATTATGCAAGATGCAGCAGCCTGTGGTGCAGCATGTCTTCTTCCTTCTCATGTAAGCCCGTCTGTTCCTGCCTCTGTCCGCAGTGTGCATCGCATCAGGGACCAAAGTGGCGCTGTTCAACCGACTCCGCTCCCAGACGGTCAGCACACGTTACCTTCACGTGGAGGGGGGCAACTTCCACGCTAGTTCCCAGCAGTGGGGCGCCTTTTACATCCACCTGCGTAAGTCCCTCTTAGCCAAACGTGAAAGAAAATAAACGAGCGATGAAGCGGTGGCCGCTCTGATTGGTTGGTTCCTTTGCGTTTGCAGTGGACGACGAGGAGTCAGAAGGAGAGGAGTTCACTGTGAGAGACGGTTACATCCACTACGGTCAGACGGTCAAGCTGGTGTGTTCGGTCACCGGCATGGCGCTGCCCAGACTGGTAAATGTGATCTTAGGAACTAAAAAGCCCAACATGTAATGAAAAACCAAACTTTAGGCCGTTTTTCTTCCTCTTTAAGATCCTGTTCTTTTCTCTTTTGTTTTTGCGGTTTGCCGTTCCTCCACTCGCACCCTCAGATAGAAGCTGAGTGACACTGTTCTCCCAGCTCTGTCCAAACATGTCAAAATCAGACTGCCAGTTCCCTCAAAACCAAAGCCCATTGTTTTATTTTCTACACATAAACAATTTTCCCACAGTTTTTTTTTCTTCTCATTGTTCTTTAATTAGCAGGCTGCACAGAGCTGTCAATCATCCGGTCCTCTGACATGAAAAGAGATTATTTTTCTCTCCTTTCCTCAAAGTTGAAGATTAGACTTTTATCTTGTTCAAATACGTTTTTTTGGAGGGAATAAAAAAACAACCTTGTTTTCCTTCTTTCATAATGTGACTCATGATTTTCTAAGCAGCCCCTGACATCTTGTTTTTTCTTCTATTTTTATGTTTCTTGACCCCATTTTCTTGCTTTGCAAAACACTCATAGCTCTTGTATTTGTCAGATTTTCTCCCCTTTATGGCTCTGAACCTTCATTTATTAGGACACCACAAAGGCATGCTGCATTCACATAAAAAAAAAAAAGAAACTAGTCTGTTTTTTTTAAAATGAACAAGAAACAATATAGAAAATGAGGTGATGCTGCTGTGATGTCATAGGCTACGTTCACACCGCAGCCTGAAGTGACCCAATTCCGATTTTTTTGCCCATATGTGACCTGTATCTGATCTTTTTATGACAGTCTGAACGACACAGATCGGATTTTTTCAAATGCGACCCAGGCCACTTGGATATGTGGTCCTGAATCCGATACGTATCTGATCTTTTCAAATGCGACCTGTGTCTGTACGGCCAGGTCGCATTCATCCGACCTACACGTCATTGATACTTGACAAATATTACTAAACGTTACTAATCTGCGTCCTACTAAGCGGAGGCGGGAAAAACTAACAACCATGGCGGAAGATAACACAGAGAGCAGTCAATGGAGAGAAAGTGAGGTTGCTGACTTAATTCATATTTAGAAAGCTCGATTCAGACCAAACTCGAAGGGTCTTACCGGAACCGGGGGAGGGTCTTTCTTTTTGATCTTCTTAAAAAGATTTCGTTCGTAATGTGCCTGCTCCTGTTGGAGAAGAACTTAAAGAACGCAATATACGCTGCGGTATTACGAGTCATGTTTACTTCCGCAAACACTGAGGACGCTTGCTACGTGTGACGTCATCGCGTCCTCGAGTGCGCATGCGGGACACTTCGGTTGGACGCATTCACACAGTAGATCACATACAAGTCGCATATACTTGGAAGTGTGAACGGACACGCAAAAAAATCCGATTTCACAAAAAAATCGGAATTGAGCATTAAGGCCTGCAGTGTGAACGTAGCCATAGAGGATGTTCTTTTGATCTTGGCATTGCAGATTTCTAAGCAAGAGTTGTCTGTCTTTCAGAGAAGACTCAACATGTCCCGTTTGTTGAGTGTAATTAAGTTTTACTTTATTTGGGAATTAGACACTAGGAAATTCTCTTGCCTCTCAGTTATCTGGATATGATAACAGGTACTAATTCAAAAAGTCTGAAAAGGCCTTAATTGGTATTAAAATGTCTTAAATAAGTCTTTCTTAGGTCTTAATTTTTAAAACATCGTAAATAGGATTTTTTTTTTTACGATTTATTTTTGTAATCTAAATAAAACGTTAAAATTGGCAAAAAAAAATTTTCATAAAAAAAAAATAAATAATGGCTCACCATTATTGGTTCTGTCCCGATAGCGGAACCAATAAAAGCGTTGTTGCCCCCGGGACATTTGGGAGATGCGCCATTTACTTTTTGATTCTAAAATATGAGCAAGTGTAAATGAAACCAAAATTGTCTCCAGCCAAGAGTTTTCTCCATGGCTAAAACCAGGGAACATACATGAGGCACAGTGTATTTAGTGCAAGAAGCGATTCAAGCTCAGAACGATGGGAATTAAGGCAGTGGAGTCGCACATGCGAAGCACGAAACACAAAGCATCAAAATCGAGTTACAGAGAAACAGCCGGTATTTCTCAGTTTGGTTCCACCCTTGTCTCTGCAACGCCTCCACTTATCACCAAATCAAACATACTAAGAAAATGATACAAAGAAAAATAGCTGCAAAAAAGACTTAGCATGGTTATGTTGTGGCTTTAAAACTGATTTGTTTTGTTCCCTGCTTAAACAAAGTTTGTGAATTGAGTTAAATAATTGTTAAAATATATCTGTCAGTTGTGTGTTTTTAGCTTTTTTCCTGTATGCGAAGCTTTTCAACATTTGAAACATTAGTGCAGTGGTTTATGTTAAAATAAACCTTTGGGTTAAGTTGTCCAAAGTGGGTTTTTCTTGTGTTTCTTGTGAATTTGGTCTTAAATTTTTATTTCAAGTGGCATTAAAAAGTCTTGAATTTAACTTGCCTTATGCTGTAGGAACCCTGTTATTTGACTTTATTAAGCCACCCGTGTGCTGGGCGTTACTCATGGTACGATTGTTTCCCCCTTCCTCTTCTCTTGCCAACTTAATTCAGAAAAGCAGGGCTATTTCATTTATTTGTCATAAAAATTATCTTGTTAATTTACAATAGTATTTTTTCATTTATATTTGTAAATATAGTTAATTCAGGAATAAAAAACAACTTTTTTTTTAGGTGAATGAAATATGCCTCTGTAGGACCTAAATACAGCCACATTTCAGATCAGTTGTTTGAAAATTGACTTCTTATCTCCATTTTCACAGTTATACACAAGTGTGTCTCGTTATATTACAGTTATTATTTTATTTTTACCAGATCATTCGAAAAGTCGACAAGCAGACGGCGCTGCTAGACGCTGACGACCCGGTCTCCCAGCTGCACAAGTGTGCCTTCTATCTGAAGGACACAGAGCGCATGTACCTGTGCCTTTCCCAAGAAAGGATCATCCAGTTTCAAGTCTGTGCTGCTGTTACCTCTGCATGTCAGCCCCCCCATCAGGAGACCGCCAAGAATTCATTTTTATTTTTCTCCTTCCTCCTGCCAGGCCACTCCATGCCCAAAGGAACCAAACAAGGAGATGATCAATGACGGCGCCTCCTGGACAATCATCAGCACGGACAAGGCTGAGTACACTTTCTATGAGGGGATGGGCCCCGTCCAGTCACCCGTCACCCCTGTGCCTGTGGTAGAGAGCTTACAGGTACCCTCAGAAACAGATGCCTTACATCCTGTTGGGGTGAAGATGGGTGCTCCTGTTTGAACCCGTCTGTTCTTGTCTGCTCTTGCAGCTTAACGGTGGGGGGGATGTCGCCATGCTGGAGCTGACAGGACAGAACTTCACACCAAATCTGAGGGTTTGGTTTGGAGACGTGGAGGCTGAAACCATGTACAGGTCAGGGGTCCTTTTGTTTTTTCTTTTATCTTCCATTAAAATCCAGGTTATAAATTAAGAAGGAGGCAGATTCAGACATAGGGAGCCCTTTGCTTGGCAAACACAGTCATTTAAAAACATCTTTATTACTCATAAAAGATTCTTTTTTATAAAAATATTCAAAGATAAGTTTAGAAAAAGACAAATAAAGGACGGAACCAACTCAGCTTTATCTGTTGTTTCATTCACTTCAATTTTCAATTCAGTTTACAGAGACAATTCAACCAGATCCTACAGACGGATTGTTCAAAGTTTTCTATCTATGGAAAACTAGCTCACACCAAGCATGCATGTAGCGACAGTGGAGAGGAAAACTCCCTTTTATTAATAGAAGGAGACCTCCAGCAGAACCAGGCTTAGTGGGAGCGGCCATCTTCCAACACCTACTGGTGTTCAAGGAGACAGTAGCAGCCATACAACTGAAACAGAAAAGCACTGATCTATTAAATACTTTCTATGTTAGAAAAGGTAACAGTAAACTGGTTCCTCAGGGGCTCAGTCTATGAAAGAAACAGTTAAGAAGACAACCTCAGACAACTTTCCTTCCTTCCTTTTTTCATTATTTCCTCCCTTCCTTTTTTCAGTATTTCCTCCCTTCCTTTTTTCATTATTTCCTTCCTTCCTTTTTTCAGTATTTCCTCCCTTCCTTTTTTCATTATTTCCTTCTTTCCTTTTTTCATTATTTCCTTCCTTCCTTTTTTCAGTATTTCCTTCCTTCCTTCCTTTTTTCAGTATTTCCTTCCTTCCTTTTTTCAGTATTTCCTCCCTTCCTTTTTTCATTATTTCCTTCTTTCCTTTTTTCAGTATTTCCTTCCTTCCTTCCTTTTTTCAGTATTTCCTTCCTTCCTTTTTTCAGTATTTCCTCCCTTCCTTTTTTCATTATTTCCTTCTTTCCTTTTTTCATTATTTCCTTCCTTCCTTTTTTCAGTATTTCCTTCCTTCCTTTTTTCAGTATTTCCTCCCTTCCTTTTTTCAGTATTTCCTTCCTTCCTTTTTTCATTATTTCCTCCCTTCCTTTTTTCAGTATTTCCTTCCTTCCTTTTTTTCATTATTTCCTTCCTTCCTTTTTTCATTATTTCCTTCCTTCCTTTTTTCAGTATTACCTCCCTTCCTTTTTTCATTATTTCCTTCTTTCCTTTTTTCATTATTTCCTTCCTTCCTTTTTTCAGTATTTCCTTCCTTCCTTCCTTTTTTCAGTATTTCCTTCCTTCCTTTTTTCAGTATTTCCTCCCTTCCTTTTTTCAGTATTTCCTTCCTTCCTTTTTTCATTATTTCCTTCCTTCCTTTTTACAGTATTTCCTTCCTTCCTTCCTTTTTTCATTATTTCCTTCCTTCCTTTTTTCAGTATTTCCTTCCTTCCTTTTTTTCATTATTTCCTTCCTTCCTTTTTTCATTATTTCCTTCCTTTCTTTTTTCAGTATTTCCTCCCTTCCTTTTTTCAGTATTTGCTTCCTTCCTTTTTTCATTATTTCCTTCCTTCCTTTTTTCAGTATTTCCTTCCTTCCTTTTTTCAGTATTTCCTCCCTTCCTTTTTTCAGTATTTCCTTCCTTCCTTTTTTCATTATTTCCTTCCTTCCTTTTTTCATTATTTCCTTCTTTCCTTTTTTCATTATTTCCTTCCTTCCTTTTTTCAGTATTTCCTTCCTTCCTTCCTTTTTTCAGTATTTCCTTCCTTCCTTTTTTCAGTATTTCCTCCCTTCCTTTTTTCATTATTTCCTTCTTTCCTTTTTTCAGTATTTCCTTCCTTCCTTCCTTTTTTCAGTATTTCCTTCCTTCCTTTTTTCAGTATTTCCTTCCTTCCTTTTTTTCATTATTTCCTTCCTTCCTTTTTTCATTATTTCCTTCCTTCCTTTTTACAGTATTTCCTTCCTTCCTTTTTTCATTATTTCCTTCCTTCCTTTTTTCAGTATTTCCTTCCTTCCTTTTTTTCATTATTTCCTTCCTTCCTTTTTTCATTATTTCCTTCCTTTCTTTTTTCAGTATTTCCTCCCTTCCTTTTTTCAGTATTTGCTTCCTTCCTTTTTTCATTATTTCCTTCCTTCCTTTTTTCAGTATTTCCTTCCTTCCTTTTTTCAGTATTTCCTCCCTTCCTTTTTTCAGTATTTCCTTCCTTCCTTTTTTCATTATTTCCTTCCTTCCTTTTTTCATTATTTCCTTCTTTCCTTTTTTCATTATTTCCTTCCTTCCTTTTTTCAGTATTTCCTTCCTTCCTTCCTTTTTTCAGTATTTCCTTCCTTCCTTTTTTCAGTATTTCCTCCCTTCCTTTTTTCATTATTTCCTTCTTTCCTTTTTTCAGTATTTCCTTCCTTCCTTCCTTTTTTCAGTATTTCCTTCCTTCCTTTTTTCAGTATTTCCTCCCTTCCTTTTTTCATTATTTCCTTCTTTCCTTTTTTCATTATTTCCTTCCTTCCTTTTTTCAGTATTTCCTTCCTTCCTTTTTTCAGTATTTCCTCCCTTCCTTTTTTCAGTATTTCCTTCCTTCCTTTTTTCATTATTTCCTCCCTTCCTTTTTTCAGTATTTCCTTCCTTCCTTTTTTTCATTATTTCCTTCCTTCCTTTTTTCATTATTTCCTTCCTTCCTTTTTTCAGTATTACCTCCCTTCCTTTTTTCATTATTTCCTTCTTTCCTTTTTTCATTATTTCCTTCCTTCCTTTTTTCAGTATTTCCTTCCTTCCTTCCTTTTTTCAGTATTTCCTTCCTTCCTTTTTTCAGTATTTCCTCCCTTCCTTTTTTCAGTATTTCCTTCCTTCCTTTTTTCATTATTTCCTTCCTTCCTTTTTACAGTATTTCCTTCCTTCCTTCCTTTTTTCATTATTTCCTTCCTTCCTTTTTTCAGTATTTCCTTCCTTCCTTTTTTTCATTATTTCCTTCCTTCCTTTTTTCATTATTTCCTTCCTTTCTTTTTTCAGTATTTCCTCCCTTCCTTTTTTCAGTATTTGCTTCCTTCCTTTTTTCATTATTTCCTTCCTTCCTTTTTTCAGTATTTCCTTCCTTCCTTTTTTCAGTATTTCCTCCCTTCCTTTTTTCAGTATTTCCTTCCTTCCTTTTTTCATTATTTCCTTCCTTCCTTTTTTCAGTATTTCCTTCCTTCCTTCCTTTTTTCATTATTTCCTTCCTTCCTTTTTTCAGTATTTCCTTCCTTCCTTTTTTTCATTATTTCCTTCCTTCCTTTTTTCATTATTTCCTTCCTTCCTTTTTTCAGTATTACCTCCCTTCCTTTTTTCATTATTTCCTTCTTTCCTTTTTTCATTATTTCCTTCCTTCCTTTTTTCAGTATTTCCTTCCTTCCTTCCTTTTTTCAGTATTTCCTTCCTTCCTTTTTTCAGTATTTCCTCCCTTCCTTTTTTCAGTATTTCCTTCCTTCCTTTTTTCATTATTTCCTTCCTTCCTTTTTACAGTATTTCCTTCCTTCCTTCCTTTTTTCATTATTTCCTTCCTTCCTTTTTTCAGTATTTCCTTCCTTCCTTTTTTTCATTATTTCCTTCCTTCCTTTTTTCATTATTTCCTTCCTTTCTTTTTTCAGTATTTCCTCCCTTCCTTTTTTCAGTATTTGCTTCCTTCCTTTTTTCATTATTTCCTTCCTTCCTTTTTTCAGTATTTCCTTCCTTCCTTTTTTCAGTATTTCCTCCCTTCCTTTTTTCAGTATTTCCTTCCTTCCTTTTTTCAGTATTTCCTCCCTTCCTTTTTTCAGTATTTCCTTCCTTCCTTTTTTCATTATTTCCTTCCTTCCTTTTTTCAGTATTTCCTTCCTTCCTTTTTTTCATTATTTCCTTCCTTCCTTTTTTCATTATTTCCTTCCTTCCTTTTTTCAGTATTTCCTACCTTCCTTTCCTCCGTCCGTCCATCCTCCATCCACCGTGCTTTAACCCTCCAGGTCATCATCATTCTCGTTAATCCCCCCCGTCTGCCTGTGCCCCCTACAGGTGTGCAGAGAGCATGCTGTGCGTGGTGCCTGACATCTCTGCCTTCCGTGAGGGCTGGCGCTGGGTCCGGCAGCCCGTCCAGGTTCCCGTCACGCTGGTGAGGAACGACGGCATCATCTACTCTACCACGCTGACGTTCACCTACACACCCGAACCCGGCCCAAGGCCGCACTGCAGCGCCGCCGGCGCCATCCTGCGGGCCGGGAGCTCCAGCCTGCACAATAACAGCAGCCAGGAAACTGGCCCCGGCGTATATGGCCCCAACAGTACCGGCGGCGGCGGCGTTACGTCCTCGTCCTCCACTGCAGCAGCCGTGGTGTCCTAACACACACACAGTATGCCTTGAGAGCAAACATACCTTGGGGTAAATAGAGACAATAGGAAACGGACCGGAAGTGACTCCTTGTAGAGTGCTGCGTGTTCATCTGGGATACAAACTGAAGGAGTGACATCACACAGGTGTCAGCCAATGGGAATAAGCAGAAGAGCTCCGCCTCCTGGGTTACTTAAGGGACCTGCCTATTTAATCCTGGTGTTTGAAACAAGTGAAGTTCCTGCACTCTCAGAGCACCAGCACCTTCCTCCAGCTGTGAGACACAACAACACATCCACCCTGGAAAACACCAACCTGCTTCTCCATCGTTCCTCTAAAAACGCCTCCTGTTCTGCCTGGATTCATTCTCTGATCTCCAACAAACTCAGCTGGATGTGTTGTTGTTGCAGGATGCAGAGACACACATAAAACGTGACGATAACATAGTTTTTATGGACCAAGGATCTTGTATAAGCTTTAGTAAAGGTACAGTTTTCTCCATACCTTTTTTTGTATTAAACATATAGTACACTTTTGTTACCAAATAGTTTCTATTCTTCCTCTGAGCTTTGGGCTTTGTTTTCCCCTGTTTGAGGTCCAAACTCCAAACCTGTATGTTAATGTGACCTTACAGCGAAACACCTGCTTCTCAATACTCGGGGTGATTTTTTTTCTTTTTTTTTCTTTTTTATTTTGATACGTCTTATTTTGGGGGGAGAAAAAAAAAGTCTGGGTTGGTTTATTCAGACACGAAGGTTGTTTTTATTACTTTTCTTTTGTTCATTTTTATCAGGGGGGGTTGACCTCAGAGGGGGCTATATTTTTTATCTTTTTTTTTTTAATGATGTCTTGAAAAAGAAAAAAAAAAGCTTTAAGCAACGCCTTTGCCTTGCCTGCAATACTCTGCGTGCTCGCCGCGTCTCCTGGATCGTTAGCGCATCAGTGCATCTCACATGGAGCCATAGCAGCATCTGCAGAATGTGTGGAGAAAAAAAAAAAATACAAAAAAACAAACGACCTAGTTGGTTACAAAAACAAGTTAAACTGATGTAATAAGCGTTAGTAAGCCTTAGTACTGTCAATTTTTACTGTGCACACATTCAGATCAGTCACATATCTAGTATCTGTTGCTCACTGCACCCGGCGAGGCGTCTTCCAACGCGTGCTTTACTTATATCTGATAGTTTTCCAAAAAGAAAGGGGGGGGGAGCAAAACGACGGACACTTTTGTTTCAATTTGATGTGGCCTTACTGCAAAAAAAAAGATAAAAGATGTTCAGCTTTTTTCTTATCTGCTGTTTACTCACCGTGGAAGAACCTGTGCTTAGCACACATGATTGCCTCGCTTCCCATCACAGGAGCTCTGCTGTCTTTGAGCTCTTCGCTGCGGCTTCACCTTCCCTGCAAAAAGCAGCAGCCTTCTTCTTCTTCTACTAAAGCCTTGTTTTTGGTGTACAGATACAAAACCTTTCCTCTCCTTTTTACTGTTTTTGCTTTAATCTTGTCGTTCTTCTGCCGCCACAGTCGGGTGCAAAGTAGGCATGGGCTGGTGTCAAAACCAGAAAACAATAATCACTATATTTACACGAAGGTTTTAAACATGAAGATCCTCCATAATCCGGAAACTCTGGTTTAGAAACTGCTGCTAAAATAAAAGCCCTCATTTAATGTTATTTAGAGCTCTTGAGAAAATTGAGACTTTTCTAATTTTTATGGGGCTCAAACAGTTGGATTAATCGTTTATTTAAAAAATTATCAACTAATTTAGTAATCGATTAATTGTTAACTGGAGTATAGAGACTCTAAAACGTGCAACGAGCAACCCATTAACCTCAAAGCTGTAAAAAAAATATCTAAAATATTTTTTATTTAAAATGAAAAACCCTTTAAGTCCATTAATAATCCAGAAGTCCTCAAAGGCCTCAGTTTTGGCTTTTCTTGGTTTAAATTCTGCATGTAAAAACGAAAAATAATAATAATATTCAGTTTAATCTCTTAGCAAAACAGTCGTTAGTTGCAGCTCTACATTTTTGCATCTCTAACAGTGATTTTATTCCTTTGCCCTTTATAAGGTAGAGATCAACATTGGAGTCAAAGCCTGGTTGCCTTAACTAGTACAAATCATTGTTTGAATCTGTTCCCCAAGTCCACTACTGTGTCGTTTAAATCTAAACATGAACTTCTTCTCTTCTAGTCTGAAAAAAGTGCCATTTTTAAAATTATTTCTGCAGTTTGCTTGCAAATATATATATATATATATATATATATATATATATATATATATATATATATATATATATATATATATATATAAACCTGCTACAGTTCAGTCCAACTATAGGGTTCAAATTCAACATTTTTATTCATTTTTCTGATTGGAAATCAGACAAATCTGCTCTAACAATAAAGAAAGGCTATGGTTAGAGTTTAGGTGAAAAAATGAAATTGAGTTTCTATTAAATATGTTTATTTTTAACCTTTTCTATTACTGGATGTTCTGTCTGCTGAGCACCAGTGTTTGGATCATTTCTAAGCCACAGACTCCCTACCAGATTCAGGATTCAGGTTGGTTTGCTCTGAAACGTTTTTGTAACAAAACATGCCGGCAATATTCTGCATTAATCTGGCTTCGACCGTAGGTGGCAAAAAATTGGAGGAAAAATAGCACTTGTTTTTTTTTTTTTTTGTTTGTACCAGAGCTGTCTAGAATGTTTTTAAATAAATTTTTTGTTGTTTTGTTGACAGTTTCCAAGGATTCGAGTCACACATTGTTCATTTGACCGTTTCTGGTCCGTAAAGAGTAAAACAACCAAACCTTCTCTGGTAGAGTCTGCAGACATCACAGCTCGAAAACCAAAATTAATTTGCTCTTTAGTTTCTTTCTAACAAAGCCGAGCATCTCTTCTTTACTTCCCTTTCAGACAGGATGCAGCCTGCGCTCAAACTTATTTCCAATGGCTTTGAATGTTCTACGCCAATTTATCGCTGTGGAAACGGAGCTCTGTCACCAACCTGCAACTCCTAAAATCGGGGTATCGAGCAACCGCAGCCAAACTGTGACAAGTAGCAGCAAAGCGAAGGACAGTTTAGCTCAGTTCTGCTCTAGGTTTCAAAAAATCTGTAGAAAATTAGTCAGTCCTTCACTTTCTGTCTTATTAAACGGACTTCAAAGTGCAGGAACTGCAAGATGCACTTCTATAGCTAAAAAAAGAGCAGGACGCCCGTTTCTACTTCACAGCTCTACGTCTTTCCCACTATAGAAATATTTCCAAACAGCCCAGTTCGTCTTTTTTATTATTTTAAAGATACACTTGGGTTATTTTGACTGTGTAGCAACATGTGGGGGAGGGGCGCACCACTAAAGTTATATATCAGGAAAAAGGAAAAGAAAAGAACAGGAAAATTTGGTTAAATGTGAAATCTTTACTCTGAGCCCGACCCATGCCTACTTCACCAGTGCTTAAAGCTCCATTCAGCCTTCTGCCCAAACGATCCTGCAGCTCGCCGCGTCGGCAGTGACTGCCCCTCCTGCGGGAGCATAAAAGGCCTTTTGTTTTTAAAAGAAAAAAAAATGTATTTAAGAAGAAAATGTGCATTTCTGAACATTACAGCAATATTGTACAGGTCATTTCATTGTTGTTTCTGTTCGCCTGAGCACTCGTTCACCAGCCAGCGGGACCCTTAAACTCTGCCAGTGGGTCACATGTTGTCACTGTAAAGTCGGACTCCATTTAAAAAAAAATATCAGAAAATCGAGCTTCCCGTCTTCCACCGAGATCCAAAAACGTCTGTCTGTGAGGAGACATTCAAAGGCAATACGAAACCAGAACAACACTGTAACTTGAATGTCTGCTCCCTGAACTATTTCCTTCTTTTGTTACACCTTTAACACGGGAGCAGAGAAAAAGGTTCATAAAAGGTTCATAAAAAAAAAAAAAACCCAACTTAACAGAAATGAAGAGTTAAGTTATGCCCCGTTCTTGTCCACCATGTTTGTTTGTTCATGTAAAATGTTTTATATTGTAATATTGATATTTTTTAAATTATTGGTACAAAGTCTCCCCTTGTCTTACATCAAATGTTTAAAAAAAAAAAATAAAGAAGTGCTTTATCGCCCGTGCTGCCTCTAAAGTTTCCCTTAACTTTGGCCTCTTCCTGACATGGAGGTCTTTAAAATGAAAAAAAAAATAAGGTGCTGCGGCGGCCGTGTAGCATCCGAACCCTGCGGCGGCGCTTCCCTTTACTCTGCAGGATGGAGGTCATCAAATCTTAACTGTAGATTTTATCGTTTGTTTTTTTTTCTTTAATCTTCCATCTCCTTAAAACGCGAAATGTTTGTTTTCCTTCCATTAAGCAAACCGGGTCATCTTTTCCTTAGCAGTTTTCGGATTCATAAAAGAAAGAAGTAAAATGGCGGCGCATACTTTTTTCACACATGTGCCCCCTTCGACAATCGGAGCCGGTTTACAGGTTGTTTTTTTTTTTCCTAAAATGTGCAGATTCAAAAACAGGGGGACTATACTGATGGAAAAAAGGATGCGATGTTACACCCCCTCTTTGATGTGCACGTTTTGTTCATATTTTACCCTCATAGGAGGAAAAACTCTAGCGTTAGCCTTCGTGTTTTTTTTTGTTTTCTCTGTTCTTCTGTGCGTCCTGTCTTGTTTTTATTTTTTAATTTTTTTTACACTTCCAAAAACATTAAAAAGAAAAAAAGCAGCTGTTCTATGTGTGGGTGTGTTTTTATGAGCTCTGAACAATGTATGTATCTTCTTAATATGCCAAATGTCTTTTTTATAATGTAGTTTTCATGCACTGCTAAACAAAAACAGGGCAGAGTGAGAGGCAGCTTTAAACGAATAAAAAAAAAAACGGTGTGTGGAGCCCTTTCTCTGTCGCACTCAGCCTTACTTCTCCTTTTAGACTATTTGGCTGTTTGCACTACAGAGCGCTAAACTTTATTTCTTACACATTTCATCCTCCATTGTTTTGATCTTTTTTTCATCCTTTTTTTCATTGTGACTTTAAAGATTTCTCTTTTGGTTGATGCTTAGCCTCGCTACACCTGGATCCCATTTTCTCTGTCGTCATCTCCTCCATCTCCGGCTATTCTCCACCTTATCTGTGTATTATTCTAGTAAAATGGTAAGCAGAGGTTTCATGTGGTAGTATGCTCAGTGCTCAAAGGGTTGCTGATGGTAGAAACCTGTGCCGTTTGTAACATTTAGCAATAACGTCACAACAAAAGGAGACGTTTGTTTGTTTTTTTAAATAACATATGTTAGTTTGTTTTTGTACATATTGCAGCTCCAGATCATGCTCAAAATTGTATGTCATTAAAATAAAGAGAAAAAAACTTGCAATATTGGAATAAAATGAGAATTTAAAGTGATCAAATGTGAGTTGCCTCTTTTTTTTTTTTTTTTTTTTACACTTATTTAATTTTTTTTTACTCCTTTTCTAAAATGATACTGAAAGGGTACAAGTAACTGACCCAGATTTAGGTCACTCTTATCTAAAGCTTTCTTCTTTTTGTTCCTCTAGTGCCTGGCCGTCCCACCAGAGTCGGTCTATCCCCTTCAGGTCAATGTTATAAAACCTGTTGAAAGCACAGGCTTGTTCTCCTCTGGCTCTGTGTACGCTCCAGATTTTTGTAGTTTTTTTCAGATACAGTATTTCCTAAAGGTGTTCCTACCCCTTGAACTCTTCCATTATGTCACACTAAACCAGCAGAATTCACGGTGCTTACTTGAAATCGATGTAATAAAGTATTTTTAACACAATCTGCCCAACTAATATCAACCTCCTTTCAATGTACTATTTGATACCCTGTGCAATAACCCGCTTATATTTGACACCCAGTGCAATAACTATGTATACAATCCTGATCAAAATCTTAAAACCAGTCAAAAAATTTGCATTTTGCACTATTGGATCTTAAGAAGGTTCAGAGTAGAGCTTCACAATGTTAAAGGAAAAAATCAGCGAAAGAGACAAGAACTTTTGAGCAGGGAATTTTCTGAAAACTGCATTTACACTCAAACATTATTTTTTCAGCTGATCAAAAGTTTAAGACCACAGTCTTTAAAAGCCAAAAGCTGTGCAAAATTCTGGATTCCATGTCATTTTCTGTCAAGTCTTTACACTGTCAAGACCTCCTGATGGCAAAAGCAAAAAAGCTCACTGACTTTGAACGTGGTAGGATTATTGAGCTGCATAAGCAAGGATTCTCTCAACGTGCGATGGGTGCTGAGGTTGGACGCAGTACGACAGTCATTTTGCATTTTTTAAATGATCCTGGGGGTTATGGAACAAAAA